GCAAAACGATAGTTTGTGATCGAGATCCGCGATTCACGTCGGCGTTCTTCAAGGAGGTTTTCAGTATTCTTGGCGTGGAGCTAAAAATGAGCACGGCCAACCACCCGCAGACCGATGGCATGACTGAGCGTGTGAACCGTGTCATTGAGGATACGCTAAGAGCTTTCGTCAACCATAGGCAAAACAATTGGGATGAACTCCTATCGCTATGTGAGTTTGCGATCAACAATGCCGATCAAGCGTCAACAGGTAACACGCCATTTTTCCTCAACCATGGATGCCATCCAGTTACTCCCTCGAGCTTATTGACGAAGCAGAAAGCTGGAGCTGGCATGGACACGAATGGTCCGCTGTCATGGCTGGATGTCCGCGTAGAGGCACTACGTGAGGCACAGGATGCCATCGTTGCGGCGCAGGCCCGGCAATCATTGTATGCGGATCGAGGACGGGTGGAGGACGCCCTGAAGGAGGGGGATGAGGTGTTGGTCTTCAGGGACTTCCTGCTGACGCCCGAGGAACGAGACAGGCCTTCACACAAATTAAGGCTCAAGTGGTATGGGCCGTTCAAGGTGCAGAAGAAAGTGGCCCCGAATGCGTACAGATTAGCTCTTCCAAGAATCATTCGGGCCCATCCAGTGTTCAATATTGCTGCCCTCAAGCTGTACCATGGCAATGAGATACCGGGCCGTACTCAGCCGGCACCTCCACCCCTAACCGATGCGGATGGCCATACGCGGTACATTGTCGAAAAGGTGTTGTCGCACAAGAAGAGAGGACGGCGCACGCAGTACCTAGTGAAATGGAAGGGCTACCGAGATGCCACCTGGGAGCCGGAGGAATACTTGATGGATGAAGCAGTAAACGCTATTATTCCGCTGAAAACCTACCTGGACCGTTTTTCATAAAATCGCTATTTAATTGGCAGCCAAAGTTGTATTGCTAGTTTCTACGTGTTGCAATAGAAATGTAGCATTCTGCATGATTAGGATAGTGCTTCCCTGCCAGCCAGGCGTTATTTGCAGAGGACATGCACTGGATCTTGAGTTCATCAGTGTTGTTTTCGGCTACCATGCATTCCACATATCCATGCATGATCATTAGTTACCATAACTGTTCCTTCGAATTGGTACTGTTCTGACAGTTGAGAGGGGGGAATGGTGTAACAGATTTACTGTTACTACTAACACTAGGAATAGGATACACTTATCACCTGCTATTATCACGCTGCTGCTGTTAGGTGTTATGTCCACGTCCACTGATGTCGACGGAGGTAGCTCTCTTGCTACTGTGAAATAGTGACATGTACCCAGCTAATGTCTCTGCTTCGTTCAGGGAATTCAGAATAGGAAGTCTGCTGTACCACCCGCTCTTTTCTTTTTACTTTTAAAAGCGATTATTTGTAACATGGAAATTTGTTCCTTGGCTCACCATCTGAGTTCTTAAAGCTATTATTCATTTTCTGCTGCCCCCGGTTATTTCTTTTATTAGTATTATTATTTTCTTTGCCTTCGCTTTCTTGTTATTGGGCAACTTGCCCGTTAGAATCTGCGAAGTAAAATAAACAACAACAACAACAACAACAACAACAACAACAAGCGAAGCATCCACCCTGCCGACTCAGGTGACGCCTCTCCTCCGGTGTTAGCCTTTGGGGTCGTACGGGCTGACTTCGGTGCTGAATCGGGTTCGGCTGTTGGTCCGCCGTTTGCGCTGACCTGATCGCTTGGCTCAGATCAGTGGGGTGCTCCCGCAGCACCCGGGTCTTGACAGATGGGTGCAGTCCATTTACGAACAGCAGTCCTCGGGTCAGCTCGTCGATCTCAGGCACTTGTAGGCTTAGGCGCGAGAACTCGGTGACATAGCTCTCCAAGCTTGAGTGCTGCCTGACAGCGAAGAGATCCAGTCGCACCCGCTCTTGATGATGCAACGGACCGTACACCTTGGCGAGGGCTTCACGCAGCGCTGGCCACGTCGAGAACTCCACACCCGTATCCAACGATGCGATGATCCATAGCTTGGCGTTGCCGCTCAGGAAGCCCGCTGCGTAATCCACCATCACCGATGAGTCGGTGATTCCCAGTGACCGATTCGCCAGCTCAATGGAGAAAGCCCACTGCTTGAACTGCGAGGGCTTGCCATCGAAGATCGGCGGCTCCTTAGCGTGCCGAGGCTTCCCGGACGAATGAGCGGGCGGCACAGGGAGCGGTTGTTGTCGGTTGCTCAGACGGGCGCTGACTTGGCGACTGGCTTCACGGACCTCGCTGGCCAACCTGAATAGCAACACAGAAAGAACAAGGATCGCCACGACAATGGCGAGCTCCAAGAACACCATGTTAACCATCCTCTGCTACCAGTGTAACCGTTTGAAGGTATTCTTGGAAAAGACAATGCTTGCTCAAGGCAACACAACTGATATAGGGCACTTCGCGCCCTAAGGTGATAACGCGCGTGCTGACAGGATAGGGAAAGGTGCAAGATACAGAGCTAGAGGGCAGATAAGGTTAGCGCTAACAGGGAACTGTTACAGTTGAGGTGTTATTTTTGGAAATGGAGCCTCCAGCGAAGAGGCAAATTCACGGGGAGGTCACTGAGCTGAGTTAAAGCATGTGACTCGGCTGGTGAGACAGCGCCAGGTACATGTGTACCCGGCTCCGACCCGGTTGAAATGGTTGCGCCAGCCAGGTACAAGTGTACCCGCCTGTCCTACAATCCTACAGTAGAGCAGACTCTGCAATCCTATACTATAGCCGATGCGCACTGTACATCCAACATTGCACTGTGGTTTGCTGCGTGATGTTCGTCGTATGGTCAGGCCATTTGCTGAAGATGTGCGTGTGGTTTTCCAGCCAGGTCCAGGTTCCTCAGTAACATGTGGATATCATGCTTATCCTTGTCCTGTCCTCAATGCCCAATGAAGTTGTACAGAACAAGAGGACGAGAACAATCTTAACCCGTCCACGTCTCCACACTGCGCTCTTTGCCTACGTTCACAACACCACTCCGTACGTAGCCAGGAATGTCCTTCTTACGTACATGTTCCATATCCTCCAGACAGCTGAGCTGTTTCGCTAAATGGGAGGATAAAGGATAAGAGCTCCTTAGTGCAGGTGGATAACGAAAGAATAGCAGATAAAGGAATGGGTATTATGTTTAGGGTAGAGTGGCGCAATTGCGAACTTTCTACATAGAAAAGTGGCATACGGGAAGAAGTTGAAGAAGTTGACAACAGTACTAAAGCCAGTAAAGGTGAAAACCAAACGCACAGTACTGCTGGAGCACGCATACAAATGATGGCGCTAGAATAGACCCTTTGCACAATAACGGTCACGTGATCCGAGTCGGGGCATCCTCTTCGATTTTTGTGCAGAGTATCAGTTGTTGAGCATGGTGGAACACTGTATTTTCCATTTTGGAGATGGAGGAGAGAGTGTCGAGTGGTTTGCCATCGATGGCTGTGGAACCCGTGGACGAACTGTCAAATGAAGATCGGTTGTGTAAGGAACTGAACAGTTTTCTGATGAATGAGGGTGCGTATCTGTCTGGAAAAGAAGGAGTTGTTGGAGCGGTAAGATTTCCGCATTCAGTGGATATTTCGGATTACTGTAGATTGAAATTTATTTAATTTTCTCTACCTTCTCTCCTCTGTCGATGTAGAGAACACTTCTCTATGCAGAACCCTGATGCTCCTAGAACTAAGAAGGGCACCACTTCCTCGAGTGTACCTTCATCATGCCCAACATTTCATGCGTCCCAGTGGATGAGTGATGAACCTCTGTTTCCCAGAGTGAGTGCCACACCATGCTTGCCGGCTCATCTCCAACGCAGGGGCAAGTCGCCGACGACAGTGAAGAGGGAGCTGATGGAGTAGTACTAGTGAACAAGCTCGTGGATAGTGTCTATGAGTTTTACTTTGGTGGCTATGTGCATAATGTGAAAGTCTGTCATATCGTGCATACAGCCACAGCTCGAACTCAGATGACTTTCTCCGCACACCTGAGCGATGAGGATGCGTCTCTCTCCACTTCAACATCAGCAGCTCGAGCAGCGCCAGCAAGCAGTCGATCTTCCAATAGCGAAGACAGGGATGGGTGACCTGTCATGCCTTTTTCTCAAGCTCCAGAGTCTCTTGGCAGGGCGTTCCATATCTTCGCAAAAGCAAGGATGAAGTCGTCATGGACAAAGTGTTCCGAGCACAACACTGTGAACGATATCGCAGCACTGCGGCCCTCTTCTCGCCCGATAGCCAGGATTCCAGAGTGTGGAATGCCAGCATCACCAGGGAACGCATGGAAAGACAAGTGGGTTCCTTAGACTAACGTTAGGGATGACGGTTGCTGCAAACAAGAACCCAACAGTGGTCCTTGGAAAGCATTTCGGAACTTCTTCCTTCAGAACTAATCCAAATAAAATCAATCAATCAATCAGGTTCCTACCTGTGGATGCAGCTGGGGACGCTGGTCGTCGATGAACTCCCATGTTGGATATCCGTTGGAAGTAACTATGTGTACTATCAAAGTTACACTGCCACTGATACCATGTACTAGTGATGGTGTTACCCTATGATGTGCTGTGATCCTGTGCCCTCCCGACCTCGTGCTACTGGTGCGTTCGCGTCCCGTCATTCGCGATTTAGGTGGATCAGTTCACATTTGGGGGGACAATGGGCCAGTTTTAATTTCTTACTTTTACGACGGGGCAGCGCCAGTAAAGGTTTCAGAACCGCTCACAGAGCGATTTTTATATGGATAATTTCAGTTCTTTTTCCGTTCCCTCCCCACCCCAACCCCGAAGGTCAGATGAACACGCGCGCGATGTACTGTATGTAGGCATGAGACTGCGATAACACACTGATACATACCAGCCCTCCCCACCTCGCTTACCCCGCACACAGATACACAAACATGCGTATGCACACGGCACACGCACACATACGCACATGCACACGACACAAACAGGAAATTCTTTATGTAAAATGCCATGCAAAGCAGTGGCCACCGTACTTCAGGAAGTCAGTTGTGGAACAAAATAATTCAACTACAACGCGTAGACAAGCTGACGGCCAAAGCACAACATAGCAAACATGACATTTGCCCAAGGATTGCAGTTTGCAGACCACGCCATGGAAGCAGCGAATACAGAATGTAATATCATACAAAGTGACAAGCAAAGAAGTGGCCACCATACACCAGAGACTTGCAGAAAGTCACATATCCAACAGATGGAAAAGTGAACAGCAATCTGGTACAGCCCACACAAGACAAAGCTGACCTGATACTTGTCCCAGGATCGCAAGTGGCAGATCCTTTTCAATGCATAACATGCAGGTGTACGTTACACGCATGGACAAAATCTGACCGTGTCGCCAGCATACAATGTCATCACATGTATACCCCACAAGTTACACACATGCACAGTAGAAGCACAATGAAAGCAATGGAAAAGTACGATGTGGTTGCTGAAGCATCTTCGCACTTCAAATTCAGACTTCAATGTGGTCGTCACGAGATGATATACCTGCAAGATACAAGTGATGCAGAAAGAAAGCAGAAGGGAGTGAGGTAGGCTATGAGACACCACAAACAGGTCACCTACATGTATGTTCAGGGCTAGTGCACTCGCACGCAGAATCATCATAATCGAGCATTTCCCAAACTGAGAAGTGCAATGAAATCCACTTGCATGCACAGGAGCAATTTTGCCGCTGGTGTGATGCGCAATTCGAGACGATCTGCGATGCTGCGTGCTCACCTCTGATGCCGATTACTTCCTTGCTTAGACCGGCCCGGTCTGCTCTCCCTTCACTCTCTTGTAAATCCTACTTGGAGCAGTAAGGCTGTGTCACTGCTCCTACTGATAACCCAGTTAGGTTATGGTCATTGTTGTGAAAGCAATATCATCGTCATTGTGGTAATAACATACGTTTTTGCACAGCGGCTGGCGCTAGAACGTGCAGCAAGCAGCACGCTTGTACTTCGGTTTTGCGATTTTTCCGAGGGCAATGGCTTCCTTTTTGCTTTGGCTACCTACGAAGTACGACCAAAAAATCCATGAGAAGTATTTTTTGGAGCTGGAGTACGAGTGGGGTTGTCTGATAAGTGCTAAGAGAACCCTCCTTTGTGGCTGTAGAGCGCTAAAACGTGCCCTGTTGGCCGAAAAATCCGAATTTTTTCTCTCCCCGGGGACGCCCCCGGACCCACGTTGTACCACTCCCAACCACCCTGTGACGCCCCTGTCATTGTAGCTTACTTGCTGTCTTTTCTTGGAGATGCAGTAGCAGCTGAGGACTTGCATACAATCTCTGTTTCAACTGCCACTATTTCCACAATGTTGTCAGGTATTGGTGCGGGCGACACACGCAGATTCTACACACGCAGAAGGAAAGAACACACCATGAACATATACCTGTTACTACATGTACATGTACATGTTGCCACTGTCAAATATTCCACAGGCAGATGCTGGGGATGGAGAGGAGAGCAGCATCAGCAACAGCAGAAGCAGCAGCAGCAATAGCTGCACTATTAGCAGCTTTTCACACAGCAATTCACCACACCATAGCTCAGATTGTATTCCCGGTATGAGCATAAAATGTCCAGTGGCCTTGTCCTTGCGAAACCGGCTTTCATACTAGTTCAACAGAATCTACAGCGCACGTTGCACAGGAGAATTCATACTCATTCAACAGAATATACAGCATACATTGCACAGGAAAATGCTTGTACATTGCAGAGGAGAATACTGGCTTTCATACTCGTTCAACAGAATCTACGGTGTACACTTGACAAGAGAATACAAGGCAAAAACCATTAAAGGGGAAGTATACCCTAAAATCAAATTTTCACCAGTTGTAGTCTTCGTGGTGCTGAGCCGAATGGTCTTGGTCCGAGGAAGCTGAGACGCTCTCTTCCTCCTTTATTCCCAATCGAACTCGCGCACTTCCACGGAAACTGAGTGACTGCGCCCTACAAGATAGGGATTTGTATGGAAAAGTCACTAAAAACGCCGTTTTGTTCTTATAAAAGCTTGGATGACCACGATTGGTCCATATGTTGTAGTGTTTTGGCCGCTGATTCGACTGGTTTTGGTCCGAAAAGGCTGCGATGCAGCGTTCGGCCCTTATTCCCAATCGAACACGGTTGAGTAAGCGGTCACGTGCTCATATACAGCCTGTTTGGGGCCATTTATGTCACTCGAGTTGAACCTTTGAACCAGGGAGTCGTAAAAGCCTCTTACGACTCCCTGCTTTGAACCTTTGAGTTGAATCTTGCTGGGAAAATTGTACTCTGCAGGCACGGTGACCAGGCGACTGGTGTACGCCTGAGCATGTGACTTTTTAGTGACTTTTTAGTGACTTTTTCCATACAAATCCCTATCTAGTAGGGCGCAGTCTCCCAGTTTCCGTGGAAGTGCGCGAGATCGATTGGGAATAAAGGAGGAAGGGAGCGTCTCAGCGTCCTCGGACCAAGCCCATTTGACTCAGCACCCCGAATACTACAACTGGTGAAAATTTGATTTTAGGGTATACTTCCCCTTTAAGCAAATCTTAGCATAGTTATGTATGTCCCTGAAGATAGCCTACCGTAAATCGGAAAATTTCGGTGGAGATTTAGTTTCGGTAACTTCGGTTTTACCCACGCATCACACACGACAACTTACCTCCACGGTCGACAAGAGCTCCCCAGGATCCCCCAGCTCCTCGGGACACGCCCTCACCATCGTCGTGGAAACGTTCAGCTTGGCCAGCAGCCGTCGCAAGCCATCAATCTCATACGAGCTGAGACAGGCCATGTCCGAGAGCGGGCAGGATGGCGGTGATGGAGGTAGCTTGCCGCCTTGTGAGCTGTTCCCGTCTCCTGACGAAGCAGCAGAAGCAGCAGCTGCGGCCGTCGCTGGCGACTGGGCTGCAGTGTCATCCGTTGACAGCAGTGGGATCTCGGCGCATGCGGGCGCCGGAGAGAGCTTCGCTGCGTCCGTATCTGTCAGCGATCAGACAATCAGAATATACAAGTCCATAAATATTCCCGTAGCTATGCAGAAGACGTTACTTCAGTAACGTCTTCTGCATAGCTAGCCAGGGTCCACACAGCTTTAATTTGGTGTTTGTTTGTGTGTTTGTGTGTTTGTGTCACGCCTGGCGCTATCCCGTGTCTGTCCCGTACAGTACCGTACCATCAAACACAGTTGGCATCATACAGCTGGCCGCACTATTCAAATAGGGCTTTCAAATGCAAGATCATAACGTGAAGCAACTTGTAAGAATGAGTATGAATGCGAAGTATATGGGGGAATGCATGTAGGGCGATAGTGCGGGTTCGAATCCCAGGTAATGCCTGAAAAAATAGGAGAATTGAAAAAATTATAACATCCCTATTCTTTTTTTGCCGTCATCAAGGCGGTAGATGGTGTCGTACTTCCCTCGACCGTACCTGTCCCGTACCTGTCCCGTACTGTACCGTACAATCAAAGACGGCTGGCAACAATGCATATTCAAATAGGGCTTTCAAATTCAAGATCATAACGTGAAGCAACTTGGAAGAATTAGTATGTATGCGAAGTGTATCGGGGGATGCATGCAGGGCGATAGTGCGGGTTCTAATCCCAGGTTATGTCTAAAAACAAAAAGTAGAAATTTATAAGAATTTATAACATCCCTATGCTTTTTTTTCTAGGTCATCAAGGCAAAAAAGCATAGCGTAGGGCCCTGAGCTTCCAAGCTCTCTCGTTTAGGCATAGGATACCTACCACATGAGCTGTGAGAAGAAGGGAAAGCGGAACTTCTGCGGTACCTGCACGATAAGGCACAGAGGGAGTCATAGTGGAACAAAGTGAAGTATACGTAGATGGAGAGA